TTACAATAAAAAAAAATGTAATAATTATAGAGTATCGTTGGTCATCTCAAAGAGATTGATTTTCTCGCTTCTGCCGGTACGGCGAAATTGAGAAAAGTAATCGAGTTGAGATGACCAATGATAATCTGTTTATCGCTATTTTACATATGGAGACGTTGTTAATTTCATTGACAACGCACGTGCTCCTTTAGTTTCTAGCGATATTTTTTGATATGACTCGACTCCACTGAGAAGATTATTGTATTTTTGTAGTGTGTAGATAAATATATGCACCTAAATAGTATATACATTTATTCTGTGGACATTCATATTAATCATGTTATTTAACTGTAATAACATCATGTCAACTGCACTCTACAAATACTATCATGTTTATTTTCTAAGATCCTCTTTGTTTGGCTCTATTCCAATTCAACATAATTGTTTTGCCTAGATATATAAGCTATACACAAATCTTTTTGCACATGCATAATTTATTTCAGGATAAACATAATGAATATAAAGATAAAAAAGTATCATCTATGATGTTTTGGATACTTACAATCAAATAATAGAAATGCCTCTGTCACCTTTACTGTAGCTTCGTCCATAAGTGTATGATCCACTGTAGAATTAAACTTTTATACTCAATACATATCACTAAATGAAATGAATCTAGCAAAATTGCGCATAAACATATTCAATAAAGGGAAATATTAATATGGCTTAAACTATAAATATTAGTTGCAAACATATAAGATGGTTCTGCGAAACGTGTTTTGGTTATTGCTGTGTAACACTTATATGTGTTATTAGATCATTTCAATATTTCATGTTTATGGATTCTATAAATACACACCTGGACTCTAACACTGCATTTATATATACATTCAACCATTAAATCGGATGAAGTTCAGTACGGTGTTTCCTTGTAATAGGATTCTTCCATTTAAACACCTACTAATATAACATCAATAAACATGTGTGTCTTATCAAAAATACATAATAGTTTAAAGTAGCACTTTACTTTAATTTGAAATAACTTTAACGAATATATATTACATCGATTTCATACTGTTCCTATTTTTTTCAAATATTTACCAATGTATCTGGGTATGCTAATTTACTTATTTAAGGTTATATAACAAGTAGTCATAACATTTTGGAACGATTACATGTTGACCCCAGGTTAATCAATCAAACCCATACACTGTCCTTAATTGATTCACATCACACTTAGTGACCTATTTTACACGTGTTTAGTATCATCAACACGCTTGCATTCTTTAAAGTGGCATAAGTTATAATTAAAAAAAACCAAAAAAAAACATTTGATTAATTTAAATATTTACATAAATCTGTATTTATACAAAGGTCACACTTCTTCCGGTTTATTCATCATTGTCTACTCTCATCACGAAGTCATAAAATTAATTCTGATCTATTCTTGTGTTTTCTTTTGGTATGATCAGAAAACATAATAGCTGAATTAAGTTTCAAAATTGACTGTTTAAGCAAGAGTGAGTTTACTGCAAAAAAAAACCTGGAGAAAACCATTGCCCTTATGAATAAGTATTGATTATTACTACATTATTATTACATAAGCTTTTTGCGGTATTTAGTTAGTTAAAATAAAACAGTTGGTAGAACTATCAATGGTAAATTGTTAATATTAATGTCGTTATATGTAACATGATTCAGTCGAGGATTATGCCAGGCACTGGGCTAAATGCGAGACAAAAGACGTAGATACTCTTTCCGAATGGATTAAGGCTGTGAGGTCGTTGATACAAATCAGAATTAATAAACTGAATGGGTCTATTAATACCCATGCTACGTTAATCTTTAAAGACCCAAATGTTGCAAAACACTTGTTCTACCTCCATGACAAATAGGTTGTTGTCCCCGCAGATAAAGCCCCAAATAACATCGTGTTTGTGTGTACATCTCATTACATAAACTGCTTGATAAATTAATTAGGTATTGACAATTCACTTGGAAACTCAATACATACCCTCACGACACTTACCAAAGAGGAAATCCTGGATAATCATAGGTCTGTTCTATATTGCGTTGGAATTTCAAACAAAGATGAAGAACTGGATCTTCCATCACTTTATTGGATACCTAAACTACATACATGTAAGCGTCCTTACAAACAACGGTATATTGCTGGGTCTTCCAAGTGCTCCACGAAACCTCTTCCTAAATTATTAACATCTATTCTATCAGCAGGCAACGCCGGGCTTCACAGTTATTGTGAAACTGCCTATTATGGAAGTGGCGTGAATCAGATGTGGATACTAAAAAAAAACCAAAGATCTTTTAGAGTACATACAATCTAAGACTCTTTCATCTTGCAATAGTATTAAAAAAATTGGCTTTTCTACACTTAACACAAGTATTTCCCATTCCAAACTAAAAGAAAAAATGAAAGAGTTAATATTGCTTTGTTTCATAAAAAAGAATGGCCAACGTAGATACAAATATCTTGTCTTAGGGAGGGATGCATCCTACTTTGTTAAAAATCACTCTGATGCAAACAAAAAATTCTCTGAAAATGACATTATCAAGATGTTTGATCTCTTGATTGACAACATATTTGTTACGTATGGAGGACGTGTTTTTCAACAGACCGTCGGCTTTCCAATGGGAACCAATAGTGCCCCTCGTCTTGCCGACTTGTTGCTTTATTAATTTGACGCTGATTTCATAGGAACTTCTTAGGAAGAAGGATAAGAAGTTAGCAATATCCCTTAACTTTACTTTCCGCAATATAGATGATGTTCTCTCATTAAATAATTCAAAATTTGGTGACTATGTTGAACTCATCTATCCCATCGAACTAGAGCTAAATGATACAACAGATACAGTTAGGTCTGCCTTATATCTTAACTTACATCTAGAAATTGACAATGAAGGTCGGTTGAAAACAAAACTTTACGACAAAAGAGGTGATATCAGCTTCACAATTGTGAACTTTCCATTTATATGTAGCAACATTCCAGCAGCGCCTGTATACGGAGTATATATTTCCCAATTGATACGATATTCCCGGGCTTGTATTTTCTATCATGATTTCCTTGATAGAGGGTTGCTGCTCACAAGGAAGCTACATGTGTTAATCCAAGAGTTCCAAATGGTGAAGTTGAAATCATCCCTTCGATAATTTTACGGACGTCATCACGAGTTTGCTGACCGTTATGGAATAACCGTTTCACAGATAATATCGGATATGCTACTTATATCGTAATTACAATCCCCTTCCCTTTTCACGAATGTGACCTGCCGAATTAAACTTTTTACCGGGTTTGTAATAACATGACCAACACGACGGGTGCCACATATGGAACAGGATCTGATTACCCTTCCGAAGCACCTGGTATCACTCCCAGTTTTTGGTGGGGTTCGTGTTGCTTAGTCTTTAGTTTTCTATGTTGTGTCTTGTGTACTATTATTTGTCTGTTTGTCTTTTTCTTTGTTGGCCATGGCGTTGTCAGTTTATTTTCGACCTATGAGTTTGACTGTCCCTCTGGTATCTTTCGCCCCTCTTTTAATGAGTTGATGTATCGTTTACTTATGTAGTCCAATGGTCCGTTGCTGCATCTACCTTAACCTACTTCTAACAATTACCGTATTTCAATCATTCACTACACGAGCACTTGTTATTTACAAAGAAACTACTTCTTGATATCAACAACGAAAAGAGTCGTTTAAAGACTATAAACATTAACATAGCGCATCTGATAGGTTTTATGAAGACGAACTGGTCTTGAGTATCAAAGTCTTTGAACTTTCATCAGTTGGTCTTATGTACTATAAGTAACATAAACAAACTGATTTTCTTAAGATACACTATCTTTTCGCGTTAATTAAGGATTGTGATGCGTTAGCTTGCGCATCGTCAAACACTGCACTCCAGATTATGCATGTACATAAGGAGACGCCAAGTATATACACTGTAGACCAAACTGGTCTCGATCTTTTTTAAATCAATGCGATTCCTTTATTTTTTTTTCCTTATTTTGTTTGTATAAAGCTGATTGAAAAGATCGAGCATAATAATGATAAAGATAATATAGATTTCTGTGTCTAGGGTCATCATTTTGTCATGTAAAATGAGTTACTTGGTAGAACTTTTTACTTTAATTCCGTTGACTAAGAATATTGCAGAAACAACACGTGGTTTGTGCATATAAATCATATAATATTTGTGTTTGCTTCGTTTGAGTGCTGTCTTATTTACTTAATATACTCTTTTAATAATATTGAACTACGACATTTGACAAGAACATTATCTTTCTTAACGTGGACACGTGCTTTTACCATCACATCAATATGTATTCTTCATTACAATAATACACAAAAACTTAGTTCAAAATGTTATCAGCTACCAAACAACTGATAATTGATTGACCATAGAGTCTGGTCTCCCTTAAAACTTTGCATCCAAAGCACTTTTCGTTAACATACTGACATTTTTCATTGTTTGTATGGTTCTTTCAGTTTCAGATGTAGCACACATTCGACACAATTGTACAGCCCAGATTAAAAGACTGTTGAATTATTTTGTTTTGACGTTAATTTGCAGTATTCTTCATTTGCCCAAACTTGTATGAGTTATTGCATGACAGTTTTAACATTTTTGTCAGTTAACTTCAAAAACATGATTGACAGAAACCTTTTACAGTAACAAGACTTTCATAAATTAGTATTAACAATACACGATCTACAAAATTGCCAAGATGTCTATAATTAATCTCTTATTAGATCTATAGCACTTTTTTATAAGTGAAGAATTATTGTGTTTGTTTTATTTTCCAATTTTAGGCGTTTGCCTACTATTTCATAGTAAAACAAAACCTGTAAATTAGAGTGATTCGATTGTAAACTTGAAATTGAGCTCACTTTCTCTACGGATGACTGGCAAAATAGAGTCGGAATAGTTGTAATCAATAGTTTTGTTGGATTGCAGAAAAGTTTCAAGCACCAAGATTAAAAAAAATAACATAAATCAGCTATACAAAATCTACCAAGATTTATTATGACTGAAAACATTTCCTCAGAGGTTACAGCCTTTTAATGACGGTGTCCAACGAATAACGATACGTTTTGCCCATTAAAATTGAGCAATTTTACCAAGACAATTAGTTAAGTAGAAACAAATATTAAAGTTATCATCCCAAAGAGAATAGATGGATCTGATGAGATCACCAACATCCTTGACTTAGACCAATAAGTCTTCCAGCACTTTTCTTGAAAACGATTTTCAAAGTAAACTCACTGGATAAAAAAAAGAGTTTTCTATAAAAAAAAAAACAAAAAAAAAAACAGAATAACACCACACTGACGTGTCTATCAATTCCAGTTTTATATAGTTAATAATACGTTAATGAGATAAAAACGTTACTTGAAAAAAAAGGACCTCGTTTCTTTATTAAGATAGATAATGACGTCATTATTAAAATGAATAATAACTTCGACATGTTGCTGCATTTGAATTCATATCGATTGTCGTTTTGTAATAGATTTTTTTAGACAATATTTGGAAGACAAAAAGCAACGACCTCAGTATGACTTATACAAAAAGTTGACCAATTAAAATTGAGATAGGAAATTTGAAATGTAATGAAAGGACAACCATCCAACCAAAGAGTAGAAAACAGCGGAAGGCCACAATGGGTCTTCAACAATGCGATAAAATCCCGCGACCGGAGGCAGTCTTCAGCTGGCCCTTTAAAATATGTTAACTAGTTCAGCGAAAATAGACGTCACACTCAACTCCGATATGTATATCTGTATTCTTAGTTGTATGCCCTTATGCCTACAAACATTAAAATGTTTGACACGTTCATTGACGATAGAACAAAACGGATTTCAAATTCTCAACAATCTGAATTTTTTTGTATAGGCAAAAATTTCCCTATATGCCATCAATTTTCAAAATCATCGATTTGCTTTGTGCATTTCTTTTTTTTCGAAAATCAGAAATTCCAAAGGATTTTTTCATAGGAAAGCAGTTTCTCAACCTTGCATAAAGTTTAATGTTGAGCTCATAAATAAGAATAAATCTTCTACATTACTGTAAAATGAGGTCCCTATTGCCATCAATAAGAATAAATCTATTTCTCAATACGCTTTTTACAAGCAATCTTGAAAAAAAGTCAAATTCAAGTAAATTATATGTGTTTTCCTTTGATTGTATTAAATGAAAATAAACGTACAATGTAGCGTAGGTAACAAAAACTAGTAGTGCTTATATGACTGAAAATTTATGAATTAAAAGTTTGAGCTGCATCAAACAAACATTTTTGCATTGTTTGCTTCTTTTCTTCTATACTATCAATTAACTTTGTGTGCTCTTTCATCAATTCAGTTAAGTTGTTTTTCTCATTTACAATGAATAGAGTTAATTCGTCCTTCTCTTCTTTTGTCAGTTTAGCCAACGTTTCCTCTTGGGTTTTTTTCAATTCCGTCAATATTTCCTCTTGTTTTGTTTTCATATCAGCAACCATAGACAATGTTTGTCCGTGTTTTCTTTGTAATTCAGCTAACATTTCCTCTTGTATTCTTTTTAACGCATCTTCTTTGTCGAGTTTCGATTCAGCATCATGTTCTCTTTTTAATTCAAAGACGGTTTCTTCATGTTTCCTTTTTAATTCATTTTCTTTTTCTCTTTTAAACTCACCTAACATTTCCTCTAGTTTTCTTTTAAAGTCAGTCAAAGTGTTTTTCTCTTTCTCTATCCATGTAGGTATCTTTTTCCCTTCGGTTTCTTTTAACTCATCTAGCGTTTTCTCTTGTTTTCTTTTCAGTTCAGTTAATGTTTCCTCTTGTTTTCGTCGCAATTCAGTCAATCTTTCCTCATGTTTTCTGTACAATTCATCGTCTTGTCTTCCTTTCAATTCATCGTGTTGTTTTCTTTTACATGCAGCTTCTTGTTCTTTTTTTAATTCAGTCAATATTTCATGTTGTTTTCTTTGAATTTCAGCCAATGTTGCCTTTTGTTTTCTTTGCAATTCAGCCAATGTTTCCTCTTGTTTTCTTTTCCATTCATCTTCTTGTTTCATTTTCAATTTAGCTTCTTGTGTCCTTTTCAATTCAGCTTCTTGTTCTCTTTTCAATTCAGCCAACGTTTCCTCTTGCTTTTTCCTTGATTCTCCCAATGTTTCCTCTTGTTTTCTTATTAATTCCACCAATGTTATCTTCTCTTTTTCTATCCATTTTTGAAGCTTTTTCCCCTCGTTTTCTAGCATCTCAGCCGACGTTTCCTCTTGTTTTTGTTTCAATTTGGCCAATGTTTCCTCTTGTTTTCTTTGCAATTCAGCCAACTTTTCCTCTTGTTTTCTTTTCATGTCATCTTGTTGTTCCCTTTCTATTGCAGCTTTTTGTTTCCTTTTCAATTCAGCTTCTTTTTCTTTTTTCAACTCTGCCAACTCTTTTTTCAACTCACCCAATATTTCCCCTTGCTCTCTTCTTGCTTCTGTCAACAGTTCTTCTTGTTTTCGTTTCAATTCAGCCAACGTTTCCTCTTGTTTTGTTTTCAAATCAGCCAACGCGTTATCTTGTTTTGTTTTCAATTCAGCCAACGTGTCCTCTTGTTTTCTTGTTATAAAATAACTTGTGTACGTAATCACAGACAATACCCCAACACATGATAACACCTGCAATTATTATTAAAAAATGCAATATTAACACTTTCTTAAAATAGAGATATAGGCGTATTGTAACTAGAACCTCCTGCTCAATTTATCATCTTGATCAATCAGCTATTGATATTTTTTATGTAATTTACCGATCAAATAATGTTTTAGAAGATTTCCAAATTATAACAAGAGAGAAAAAAAACGAAGTGCCATCCGTGTAGATCATTATTGTTAAGACCTTTACATAATGCATGATATTTTATTTCTCTAAGAAAACATGATATTGGTCTGAAGGATATTCGCGCCTGTAGTTTTTTTTTAATTTTGCCAGATTTTCGGAATCCTCTTGTTTTACTAAGATATAAGAATATGTGGTATGAGTGCCAATGAGACAACTTCCCATCCATGTCACAATTTGTATAAGTAAACAATTATAGGTCAAAGTATGGTCCTCAACGCGGAGCCTTGGCTTACACCGAACAGCAAGCTATAAAGGGCCCCAAAAATGACTAGTGTAAAACCATTCAAACGGGAAAACCAACGATCTATACTATATAAAAAACGAGAAACGTGAAACACTCATGAATCACATCAACAAACGCCAACCACTGAACATTAGGTTCCTGACTTAGGACAGATGCAAACAAATGCAGCGAGTTTAAACGTGTTAATAGGTACCAAACTTCACCCTTAACTGAAACAATAGTGTAACATCACACCATAAAAAGACAGACTATAAAATATCAATTGAAATGGCTAAATTCAATCAAAAGACATATTAATACAAATGTATACATGTATTGACATTGAAATGTTTTCCTCTACTTTTCTGTTCATAGATTTTTTTCATATAGTTTAAACAGCAATATTTGAAAATCTTATAAAATCCATTTTATTTTTGATAGTTTCTGAAAAGAAAACACTGTCAATGTTTATAGTAATTGTAGTAATTAAAACCGAGAAGCAAACATCCTTAATTTGGTTGTATATGGAGAGCCGTAAATACCCCTACATTAATACTCGATCAACAATTAATGATATTTGTATAGGTTTTTGAATCACAATTACAAAGCGATGTTCAATTGATCAAATTAATATACACAGTAGCTAAACATAAACGAAACACGGAAGTTCAGGAGACATAGGATTGTCAAACCTAATTTAAAAAAAAAATCATTATGGTAAAGTAATCAAAAGAACAACGAATCAAATTTCATCTATGTATCGTCGTTATTTGTATAAATGAATCATTACATCATGGCCGATAAAATCCCAAACAAGAACATATTGCTAAGTGCTTTCAAAGAACCGTTAGAATACATAGTGCTGAGAAAGATTACAATTTTCCGTGCTGTTTGCAATTATACTCTCCATGTCCAGCGGAATTTATATCAACAATTTTGCAAATAACTGGTTTAAATCCAATCAATATTTCCTATATTATATCGATAATTAACATGCGTAGGACTATGTTGTAGGGCTTGTTTTAATGTGTAAAGATAACATTAACGTTTTCATTTCAGAAGGTTCGAGTACACAGTTATTTCGTAGTGCATTTCTTTTAGACAATAAATGAAAAATTAAAAAAAAATCCCCGCTCTCTCAATAATATTTAACAGTGAGTTGTACTACTTTTGGGACAAATTATATCAAAATTATAGAAAACTTCATCGGCTCTAACTCAAAATAAAGACAATTCTATGTTAAGGGGGTCTTGAAATCTTTTGACAGATTCCGAAGTGCTAATTTTTAACCTTTTTCAGCTGGCCCAAATCACTACTTTACTCTAAAATTCATGACCCAAAATTTTTTTACAATGTAATTTTATCCCCCTACTAGCTATTTGAGGCATAAAACATGAAGAAATACATTAAGAAGGGGTATAAAAATATTGGCTAGCAACATACTGTCCACACTAGGGACAACGAAAATCAAAGGACAATAACTGTTTACTCGGACCTAATAGGATAGAAAAAGTTGACCAATCTTAATAAAACTTGGTATGACAAAAGTTCAATAATTTATACTTCTGCTTACAAAGGTTCATGGCAATAGGATATATATTAATGACCATATGATAAATTCTATATTCAACTTTGCATGTTAAATTTTGACGTCAAAATTGAAAAATTTCAACTATCAACATTTACAAGCATGATTTAGGGCTTTTAAAATTAAAATATTGCAAAAAAATACTTTTTAAATGCCTTAATATATAATATATCATGTATTAAAAGCAATAGCGTACTCATTTGATTTATGATTATTCGAAAGTCAAATGTATATGAGCCTGTGTTTAAAAATGGAGGTTTTCCAGTGGAGGGGGGTCTTACATGAAGATGTAATATTTTCCAGCAATTTTAAATTTGTGAAGCTTTTTGTTTATAAATAATCCTTACATATGTATTTAATGTACTTTACATGGGAAAAAAATATACAAATAACATATCATATTAGTTTAAAAGGGTCTTAGGGCAAGTGAGACTGAAAATAATTTAAGGTCAGTTTAGGCCGTAGCACATATTTACATTTAAAAATGGATATTGAAGCTATAGGAAATAAAAATTTGTGTCTTTTATATCATTTCTACACTCTGTTGACTTGATACAATAAATCTGAGCACAAAAAGACTCTTGCATTCAACTGTTTTTGCAGACAGTATGGTCTGATACAAAGATTTTTCACTTTTTAGTGAAAAACTTGCATGCAATTTTAGTCTCAACAGGCTTATACTTGAACCACTTGCTATCCTACAGAAGAAAAGAAAGATATCATGTGAAATGAAACAGGTACAAAAGACATTGTAAAGTGCTTTTTTTACAAATTTAGTGAGGTCTTTATTATGGACTTCAACTTTTATGTACCAAGCTCCTCACATTTAACTTGATCCAAACAGGGCGTTAGACGAGGGTCATTTATACAACACATTTTGTACATATTGTCGGAGATAATCTTCTTTTCTGTAGATTCGGAGTTCACAAATGAGTAATACAACTGGATTGAAGCATATAAACACAAATATTGACACATGAAAACCTGTCAGATAGAAAGTCAGAATGCCACTTATGCTTCAAAATTGAAAAAGCTATGAAATGCTTATTTTGACCATATAATGCCAAAATTGGACAGTTTTGCAGAAATTCAATCATATAAAAGTTTAAATCCTTTAGTTTCATGCTATTTGACAAATTGACACCATTAAATCATTCAGAAAAGTTGCCAAAGTACAGATTCTAAATTTACTGATTTCGCCTCTTAGGTCCGAGTACACAGTTATTTCGTAGTGCATTTCCTTTAGCCAATAAATGAAAATAAAAAAATCCAACCTGCGCTTTCTTAATAATATTTTTACAGTGTGTTTTTCTACTTTTGGGACAGATTATATCAAAATTATAGAAAACGTCATTGGCTTTAACTCAAAATATGGACAAATCTATGTTCAGGGGGTCTTGAAATCTATTGACATGACAGATTCCGAAGTGCTAATTTTTAATCTTTTTCAGCTGGTCCAAATCACTACTTTACTTTAAAATTCATGACCCAATTTTTTTACAGTGTAATTTCATCCCTCTACTTGCTATTTGAAGCATAAAACATAAAGAAATACATTTGTAAGGGATTTAAAAAAAAAAATTGGCAAGCAACACACTGTTCACACTAGGGACGATAACTGTGTACTCATACCAGAATCGTATGTTAGACCTGTACACGTTTCTTTGGTTCAAATAACATTTTGACAAAGAAATGTGTATAATAATGAATGAATAGTGGATATTTGATATACTTTCTCTTGCATTTCACCCATAATTAGAACACATAGATATATGAGACAACTCTCCTTCCAAGTAACAATTTATAAAAGTTAACCATTATAGGTCAAAGTACGGCCTTCAACACGGAGCCTTGGCTCACACCGAACAACAAGCTATAAAGGGCCTACTAGTGTAAAACCATTCAAACGGGAAAACCAACGGTCTAATCTATATACAAAACGAGAAACGAGAAACACTTATGAACCACATAAACAGACGACAATAACTGAACATCAGATTCCTGACTTAGGACAGGTGCAAACAATTGCAGCGGGATTAAACGTTTTAATAGTACCAAATCTTGTCCCTTTTCTGAAACAATAGTATAACATCACAACATAGAAAGACACACTATAAAATATCAATTAGAAGGCTTAACTCATTCAAAATACGTTGTTACACGAATAAACACACAATGAACGAATAAATATGATCTGTGATACAATGCAAATGCATAGTTAATAAAAATAAGGGAGGAATAATTAAGGTAAAAAGTAAATAAATAGGTTTAAACTAAGGTAAAAGTATAAAACCGCTGTGAAATGTTAAACAATATGCATATATTCAAAAGCTTATGTTGATCTGAGGAGCATGCTACCCTTACTATTTGGTAGAACATACAATCTTTAGATTTTTTGCCATTCAAATCATATGAATAGTCTTGATTTGTTAACGACATAAGATGACAAAAAGTACCATAACCGAATAAATTCAAAAAGGTCAGTTCGTTTCCCTGTAAATCAGTTTTGGCGTATTAAGCATAGTTCAAAAAAATTGTATAACAAAAGCAATGGTAGTATTCCAACATAAAAAAAAACCTTGTATTCAACTCTAACCATGCGTGTTTATGTAAACACCTAAATGTAACAAATATGTACTGAGATCAAAAAATTAAAAAAAGAAATCTTCTTTCCAAACGGACATTTTCAAACTTGTTTTATTTTCTGCAGTTCACACGTCTATATGTTTGCACGTATATTGAAGTTAAATTGATAAGTTAAATCTGCTATTGAAAATTAAAAAGTTTCGCACCTGCATAATATATTTACTTCATAATGAATATATGATTTTCTGTTTCATTCTGACATCCAAATAAAGAAATGTCTAACACTTACTGTAGCCTTGTCCTTGAGTGTATGAACACATTGTAGCATTGCCCCTTTACAGTCAAAAATTATCCATACATTCAATAGGTCAAGGAAAACTGTGTTCAAGAAGTATCCCATGGAGGTTAACACGTGTATTTAACACACTACTGTAAACTGTTAATGTCAACGGTCAACATATAAATGATTCTAAAAAACATAATTTATTCGCTGGGATATGCGAAAGTAGGTCATTATACTTAATCATGCATACAAATTGTTTAAAAATAAAGTGAACACTTGATTATATCAAACTTATCATGAGAGGAGTAAATGATTTCTAGGAATTAAAAAACAATGGCAGGTACTGCGAATTTAAATTGATATAAACATATCATAAATATGAAAGACGATAGTTTGAACTCACATGTTAAATCATATATGTTTTAAATAACGACAAGGACGTCTAACTAAAATGAAAAACAGGTAATAGCAAGACTTTAATTTGTAAAATCTGAAATACCTTCAACAAATATTAAACAGATTTTAGAGTGTAACTAGTTCGTGCGGTAATTCGACAGAATAGACTGCTGCAGTAAATTTAACGTTTAAATATTTAAATATTATTTCAAACTGTTTAAATAACCTGTAAAATACGAAACGCTTAAATTTACATGCACAAATGACTACATTTATTTAAGACTAACAGGTTATTAAAAGTTCTTATTTCTGACAGATAAGGATATTCTTCTTATGTAGAAAGTCGTACCAAATTGAAAGTCTGATATCGTTCAAGAGTTTTATAACAACAAAGGTGTTGTCACAACGGGTGGGTATTATATCTATGATGGTATTACGAGCACAGTATACAGGCCTTATGTAGTGTCCTTAATATCATTTATGATTAATTTATGATGATTGATTAGTTAAGGTTACTATTATGAAATGAGAACTATTTGAAACTTTAACGGGATACTAGCTTCGATTGAGAATGAAAATATGATAAAAAAATCAAACAAAAAGAAATACAAAAAAACCCTACACAAATCCATGATAATACATGGGTTTATGTTTATATATATATGTTTATATTTACAGTCATAACGGGGGTAACATATGTCCATCTATAGTTCCATGGATCGTGTCTATAGTTAATCAGATGATGTCCAGTCAGGTATACGCGTTAAATGTTGATAAGTTTATATAAATGTGTACAGAAAGTTTGTAGTTCTGCATTACGATTTACAATATATTTTATAAAATTTTGAAATTTTGAGTAAATTTTATGGAAATAAGTAACTACAATTTGTGAGGACTTCAAACTATTTCACTTCATTATTGTTTTACTTTTCAACTGATTTTATTCGAAACTTACACTTTGTTGTGGCTTGTGTACTGCAGTTGTCTATTTGTCGGTTTTTGTTTTTGTTTTTGTTCTTTTTTTTGCCATGGTGTTGTCAGTGTGAATGTCTTTTTTTTCATATTCTATTCTACAGGTTTTTTAATTTTTGATCAAATAATAATAAACAACCCTATTCATGGTATTAATTTTGCATAATACAGCACTAACTAAAGTAGAAGTTCCCATCGTGACATTTCACATGTTTCCTATTAAGCAATGTCATATAACGCCTACCCATTGTCAGAAACTGATAATTCAGAATGCTATATATTTTAATAGACGCACCCTTTTTATTGTTCTCAACGAAATCAAGTAAGTAGAGGTCTTTCTTAGTACTTAATGTTACACTGTTCTTCACAATCATACCTGAGTATTTTTCTTTCTTTCAAAGTTTTGCTGCTACATACATATAAAGTGCCTTTTAAGCTTATATATTATGCATGTAGACGAAACACACGTCTTATGTACCTCGTTGTAAGCCTAGTTGATACCATTAATGTAGGACATTTCGTTACTGATGGTATCATTAGCCAGTCAACAGTTTTACAATGACTACTGATTTTATTGCTGTATATTATTTCTTTTAAACTTTTTTGTACATAAATCAGGCCATGAGTTTTTTATTAAATATTTTACATCAATTTTGTCATTTCGGAGACTTTTATAGCTGAATATTCTGTACGGGTCGTGTAAATAGTTGAAGACCGTACGATGACCTATAGTTATCTATATTTATTTCATTTGGTCTATTGTTGAAAGTGATCTCGTTGGCATTTAAACCACATCTGCTTATTTTTTATTTTATTTTGACTTTCAAAAATTAAACGTTTAACATCTAAATAATCTATTAACTTTGTATTAAATCATACCATTAAAATGAATGTACTTTTTTCACTTTGCCCAATACATAAAGAAATGTAAAAGACTTACTGTAGCATTTGTCGTAGTTGTATAAACCAATTGCAGGAAGCTGCATACAAGTCCCATACTGGTAATGATATGTGTAGTGCACTGTGATGCAAACCTTTTATATCAACTACCAAGTAAGAATGTTTCTCTGAAGCGTCATTTATTAACCTCTATATGTGTATGCATTATTTTATCATTGCAACCATTTATGCCAAATGATTCTATAGATAAAAAAAACACAATTTTGAACAATAACTTAAATCAATGTCATCATGAAAGGACCGAATGATTTCTTGGAATTAAAATGTTCTTGTATTTTACCTGGTAATGTTCAGTTGGGATTGCTATTGTTACGAGTTAATTTATCTTATCCTGAAATGAGATTGATGTGTTCAATTTAAACTTATGGAGATATAAACATTAAATTTAATTATTATTATAAAGAATCGCGTTGAGTTGTATGCAGAAATGAAAGTACCATACGTAATGAATAGTATAAATTTCTGACAAGTAAATATATTCAGCTCGAACTATATGTATCTAGACGCATACACAATACTTACCTCTATCCCAATCGAACCAACAACAAAAAAACACTTTAACACACGGTATTTTTTGTTGTCATGCTATTGAAGAAGGCAGGTCCATGAAAAACTATATATTCTTTTTACCGATGTAGTAAAATAACTGTTATTGATAAATTAATAATTATGTTCTCAATAAATGTAAACATACCTAGATATGTATTGCTGAACACATATACACTTTTCTGTTTCTTCATTCTGATGGTAATTTTATTTTTAAACTACACAAGGTGATGATTTTCTGTTTCTGTATATTGAATGTGTTGGATTTGTAATGCTTAATAATTTAGTCTAAAAACTCGTTAAGAACCCTTGTAACAACTCTTCGATTTCTGTTTCCATGCAAAATCTCTGTTCTTATCAAACATGTCTCATATGCCCTCGTTTTCAGTGGGAGGAAAATTCACGGTTTACATATCGGATAGACCTCAAAATGTTATGTATCGTCATTTGTTCTCGTCATGAACATGCATGTAATATTTGGCAATTGACATGAAGCAAACTATCAATCATGACAGTAACTGCAAATTATTAAGATCAAAGCATTGTGTCTTTTGTATGTTGTTGCTTGTGCATCGTGCCAATCTGATAAATCAAATCCTTTTCATCTGATTTTACACCAAATACAAGGTTAGCGGAAAGTTTCAGCAGTCATACGAATGTTTAACGAAGACATTTATTTACATGCTTACTAGTTTTTGCTTGTCCCGGTATTTCAGTGTTTGTCAATGCCGGACATTTGGTTGTTTGTTTATAGTTTAAGTATTAATCATGCATCCTGTTTCCAGTATGATTTTTTTTCCACATGTTGTCATGTAGATATCTTTGATAGACAACTATATAGTATGAGTTGTGATAATTGTTGATAGATTGGTTAGTAATTGTACTACACCTCATCAGCACAAAAATGTTATATCAAGGCGAGATATAAGTCCACTTTGATATTAAAACGTTTTGTTTTTAAATCTGACACAAAGTTTAAAGTTTAAAGTTTAGTTAAAAGTGAACAAACCTATTTACATTTAAAAAAAATCATAAATAACATAACATGATCAAAACTTAAAATAATTTTAAATTTAAACAAAACAAATATATTTTGGAATATTTTCAATTTAAAATAAAAAAAGAATCAACTGTTCCAACAGAAATATTTATCTTTGTACATATTATTTACATTACACATGTGGTAAAAGGTTTTTTTTTTATTTTATTTTTTTTGGGGGGGGGGGATTTCAGAAAAGTCAATACATTAAACTAAAATATATGTCATGGTATACTTCCAATCGTATACATAATGGTTGAATTTAATATTTTAAAACATATTCGTGTGTTATTCTAGTATGACCAATATCACATCTAGACATAACACAATGACCTTTCCTACTAATAAATGTTTAAAGGTTTGCACAAAGTTGGTTGAACTATATGCAACTTATTGTGTCCACTTGAGTTTTAAACACAATGTGGAGGTGGATATTTGAATGGCTTACTTGGAGGCTGTGTGGATGGCTAACTAGGCGGCGATTCCTCTTCTTTGTTCCTGGGCAAGATGGTTTCACTAACGGTACCCCAACTGTCGGTTTTTCGGAAACTTTTACAATAGTAACTTGATTTTCTTTTTAAGAGTTGACTGTCAGCTCTGTAATGCAGATTGTGAAGACTGAATATCCATTTTAGAAGATTTTTGTTTTCTTATAATTAATATTTCATCCGAAGATTAATTTCCACAGTCAACATTGTAAAAGTATCATCATCAATTGGCGAGTCATGCGAGTTAAACTATAAGCCTGGTACCTTTGATAACTATTTACACCACTGGGTCGATGCCACTGCTGGTGGACGTTTCGTCCCCGAGGGTATCACCAGCCCAGTAATCAGGTGTTGACATGAATATCAATTATTTGGTCATTTTTATAAATTCACTGTTTGCAAAAGTATGAATTATTCGTAATAATAAAGATTTTCTTATCCCAGGCATAGATAACCTTAGCCGTATTTGGCACAACTTTTTGGAATTTTGGGTCATTAATGCTCTTCACCTTTGCACTTGTTTGGCTTTCTAACTATTTTGATCTGAGCGTCACTGATGAGTCTTATGCAGACAAAACGTGCGTCGGGTGTATTAAATCAAAGCCTGGTACTTTTGATGACTATTTAGGAAGTCTCATGACTGAATGAGCTGCCAACTCTGGTAGCATACGATGATTTGTTAGAAATTGTAGGATCATTCGAAACAGAAGCTATCTGTTTAACTTCTGGGTAACTGTTGTTTCTTTCTGTTTCTTTTTTTATTTATATTTTTTCAAACAAGCAGTCCCTAGCTGATGAAAAATTGGATTCAACTCATTTTAAACATTTA